TGTTAGAGGCTGTTAAAGCCAAACCTCCCAACAGCAATAACATGACTACAAAGGATTTCTAAGAAAAAAGTACGTGGGAATAAGGGAGATACTGAGATCCCAGCCAATTTCAGTACAATACAAGTCTGAAGTATCCTTATAAAGTTAACAAGTCAAATTTAAATGTATACAAGGCTCAGGAGCATACAGGAAACAGGATCAGCCAAACCTTCAAAGGCACATCATTGTCTTTCAGAAAGTCCACTGAAAGGCTCATGTCATAAAAAAGGTGTATTCACATGGCTGATACAGTGATAAACCCGGTGGAGAAATGCCAGCAGCCGGAGTGGGCAGGGATGCTCGCTGCAGGGATGTTACAGTGGCCCAGCCCGTTGTTACGGAACGCTTTGTCCTGCTCTCTGCTGCTGCCCCGCAATAAAACGGGTCTGAGGCAAGCAGCGGCCCTTGCCCCTGGCTTTACGATAGGCAAGTCAGCCTTTGCAATTCTGCTGCTGGAGAAAGGCTAGAAAATATTGCTCACGCCTTGCCTGGCTCCGTCTCCACCACACTCCTGAGCAGCACAGGGCACAGCTGGGAGCGCAGCACACGGCGGGGAATTCCCTGTCCCCTGTGACATTAGCACCCTGGGTGCCACAGGAAGGAAGGGACAAGGAAAGAGCTGGAAGAGGCTACTTGTGCTGCACACCCAGGAGCTAGTCCCTGCATTCTCCTTGGAGCTGAAGGCACCCGTGGGTTCGGAGCGTGTCTGCTGTAGGCACCTGGAGAGCAGCTTGTTTCAGCAAGGGCAGCTGGAGGGGACCTCGCAGAGTGTTGCAACATGGAAACAGTGCCAAAAGGTCCCAAGCCTGCCCCTGTTGAACTCCCTTAAGTACCAGATTAATAGCCAAATGTCCTCACTAAATGCCAAAGACCTGGAGTTCATTCAGCCTGCCTGGGTGGTGTCGGCGTGGCAAGCTTACCATGCCTGATCTTTCCATCTCCGGTGTGTTATTTGTGGACAGTGGGCTATATTCTGCCTTCATCATGTGCTGTTGTGTGTTTATATGTTTTACCCATCTGTTCGAAAGCAAGAAGCGATGCCACACGACTTAAGCAACCAGCCATGCTCTCTAAATAGCAAAGCATCCAAGCAGTCTAGATTGCAGACCATCCAAGGGCTGCAATAGATTGGCACAGAAGTGTTGAGAAAATGCTCTGCCACAAAGACGCTGGAAAAATCAAGGTCATTTCATGGCTGGTTTGTGAGCGGGAAGCAAAACCACCCCGATGTGGTGCCTCAGAAGAGGCTAGCGGATCGGGGATGCGTGTTGCAGGACCTGGCGTGCAGGAATTCATGAACCAGAGGGCCTTGTCAAAAATAATTTTTAAATGAAATGCAGTGTCCTAGCAAAACACATGTCTGAGACATAAAACAAAACCAAAGTACAAAATGTGGCGTTTTAAAGGCTGGATTCTGTCTCAAGTGAATAGAAGCCACATGCATCCATCTGAGATCAGATTTTGGCTTGATTTGAAACTGTGCTCGCAGAGGCTGCAGCGAGAGAAGGCAGAGGAAGGCTGCATCTCCTTTTATAATCCTCTAGACCATCCCAGCCTTTCTGTGCTTCCCCGAGAGTGAAAAGGCTTCTGACACCAGCGCCCGTCTGCGTTAGCTCCCCAGCTGCGGCGTGGGGGGTCCGCGGCGGGCGCGGCAGCCCAGCTGCCCGCTCCGCGCCACGGCAAGCAGCGGCGAGGCTGTGCCTCTGCCTGGAGTGGGTTCGGGGCTGGGGAGTGCCCGGGGACACCGTCATGCACTGAGTGTCCTGCAAAAGTGCTGGTACCAAGGCTTAACCTGTACGCACTGGGGAGAGGAAGAAATAATGCTGGCAAAATATTGTCAAATACTTCAAATTAATGATTAATTCTAGATGGAGTGATACTGTTTGATGTGGTCTTTGCTGGTTTAAACAGGAGGAGGGTGATTCACTCTAAAGGAATTTATAAAAACACAAGTATTTGCTCATGGACAATAAATACTGGAGCAGATAAAAAGGGGGATGAAGTGTTCGGCGTCGTGATAGCAACTCCGCTTCAGAAAACTTTTGACCTTCTCACATCTTAAATCAATGTGCCCCCCCTGCCCCGCTCTGCTCCGGGCCTGCCCTTGAGGCCGAGGCGGTGGGTGCGTGGGAGTGGGCTGGGCTCACTGCGGGCTGTGAGGGTGGCAGGTCCCCCCTGGGTCCCTCGCGTCCCCACGGAGAGGCTCGGGCACCC